TGTATAGCATTCAGTCCTCTGCGGCTGTGCCAGTGCTTAGAGGTTATCAGATCCCTTCTAAGAAGCTCGCTACGAGCCCCAGGTGGTCTGCTTCCATCCAAACATAAACCAGGAACAGACTTTAATTTTTCAAATGTCCACGCCATTTGACAAGATCCTAAGTGATTTTCAGAAACTTTTAACAGTTGCCTGAATGTTAACCTTAAGTGCTAGCTTAAAAAAGTGAGAAAAGCACCACCTACAACCGCCTAGCTCTGCAGAGAGTAGTGCGGTGTTCGGAAAAGATAACTGGAGGTGTGCTCCCCTCCCTCCAGGACATCTACAAGAAGCGGTGTCTGAGGAAAGCGAGGAGGATCATCAAAGACTCCAGTCACCCTGGTCATTATCTGTTTACCCTGCTTCCGTCAGGCAGGAGGTATCGCAGTATTCGGTCCCGTACCAGCAGGCTAAGGGACAGCTTTTTTCATCAGGCAATCAGAATAATGAACACTAACCACTGACACTTTAAAAAAAAAACCCCACTGCCACTTTATCGACTCCATGTCAATTATGCACTTCATATTGCACATAACTGCTCTTTGCACAACGTTCATGCGTTTAATATTATATATGTATATCTTGTACTTATCTTTTTTTTTTTTATATAGATTTTGCACACCACTACTGCTTGTGAAGCTAGCACACAAGAATTTCACTCATATGTACTATACCAGTAACATGATGTGACATTAAAGATTTGAAACTTTGAAACTTGAAACTTTGAAAGCTGCCTTAATGTGGAATTTGAGGATAGTCAGCTGAAGTGAAAATGAATAAATATTAATCTTCGTTATACAGACAGTGCTAGATGACTTCCCAAACTTATTAATAACCATCAACTAGCGAGTGGAGAAATTAATGTAGATGGCAGTCTTTTGTGGTCTTGTTTAAAAGCCTTACAGCAGCTCATGCATGGCTTGGTTGGTGTTACCCTGAAATATTAATCAGAGCGCCTCCTCTGTAAATAGAACAGGTTTCCAGGCCTCACCTGAAAGTCACCTTGATGCAGCTACATCTGTAACAGTCGTCATTCAAGGCTTTCCACCAGGAGGTCCCATCGGCCGTCTGCCTCACCCACACGCGTCCAGGGCCTGACCTGGACAGCTAGGGACTGGCCCAGTCTGCGAGATTTGTGCCGATATTAATTTTGAAGGCTCTGTCTGGGCAAAGTAATATTTGCTGCAGCACTGAGGTGAACAGTTTTCCCCTGAAGTAAAAACATCAGATAAGTGTCCTTTTCCCATTTAGCTTTATCTGCCCAGATTTGGTAAAACACAAATGAGTCTCTTGTTGCCTGCTTCCAGAGTATTCTATAATTTAGAGATAAGCATGTATCTCTGGTGGTTCAGAGAACAGTACCCTGTATGCATGGGGAAAAACAGGACATGGCTGTGTGGCCATCTCTGTTGGAAGCGGGTAGACAGTCACAACTAAACTAAGCTTTGAGATGTCATGTTTATGGGGATGTGGAGGAAGAATAAAACATGTTTATTTTTGGGATGCAAAGGAAGTGGAGGCCATGTTCATTATGGGAATGTGGAGGAAGAAGAGGACATGTTCATTATGTGCATATGGTGAAAGGGGAGGTCATGTTCATTATGGGGATGCGGCAGGAGAGGAGGTCATCTTCATTATGGGGATGTGGAGGAACAGGATGTCACTTTCATTAGAGATATGGGTATGGGGAAGAAGATGAGGTCACATTCATAATGGAGTCTAGGAGGAAGAAGTGATTGTATTCATTGCAGATGCAGAGATGAGCAGGAAGAGGAAATTGTCTATTACAGGGATGTGGAGGAACAGGAGCTCACTTATATTTCAGATACAGGGACAGGGAGGAAGAGGAGGTCATGTTCATTACAGATATAGGGATGATGAGGAAGAAGAGTTTGCTTTCATAGGTATAAAGACCCTAGTTACATCTGGATGAATGGTGTGGATCCATTAATATTTAA